TAAGGCTTAGAGTAATCAAATTTTTTTTAATGTAATACCTATATGAGTAATATTTCAACTTCTTAGAGCAATCAATAAAATTTATTGCATCGACAGACTCATATGAGTAGCATTTCTTAACAAAACTGTTCAATATATTTCTAAATACTTTCAAAGATTCAGTGTATTTAAAAATGATTAATTTGTTTATCATTGGTATTTTTTCATCAAAATTATTTATATCCATATTCGTTAAAATATTTTTCAGTTGATATTTTCGATATGTTTTTTCAGCGATCCTTATTTTATACGTCATTTTTATACCCATCCATCCTGTTGACGAATACAATTGAATACTTTGATAATATTTTCTCTATGTTTGCTTGAATATGAATTTGAATTACAGAAAACCATCGAACTTTGATTTAAAATTCAAAAATTTTAAATAAATAGTCGACATAACATTTTTTTGAGATAATTGAATAAAAAATTGAAAAGATAATTTAATGACTAATAAATCTTGACACGACCCACGTCGCTTCGTTATACACGATGCCCCGCGACTCGTGCCACTTTTATCAGCCGTCGCCCTAATGTGAGTATTTGACTGACCAACACCGCGTGTCATACGCTACGGTGCAAAGTCTAGCAAATGCCGCACGGCCGACGACGATCCGCCGCAAATGGTGCGGGTAGTCTTCCTCCCGTTTTAAAAGCGACAACGTCGACCAACCGATCCGCACCCGCGCACAATCGCCTACAACGCTGCTAACCTGTTGTCGCCCAAGGATCACGCCGGACATCGTGTCGTCGACGCCATCGAAAGTGCCGCGATATTATGCGAAGATTATTATTACTGTGTTTATCTTTTCGGTTTGTTTTATTTTTGTTAAAATAATCTGTTGTCGCTCATTTAATAAACGGCCCACGGGTCTCTACCCTCAAAACCAGTGTCGACCACATTTTTGCGACGTAAGTCGTGTCAATCTGTAAAATAAAGTTGTTAGTAATAGTACAAAAATACTAAAGTAATAACAATAGGTAATGTTAATCTTCAGATTTAAAATGTTAATATATATAAACGAGTTTTGAGAAAAAATTTTTTTAGTTTTTATTTTAGTATTGTAATAATTATTTATGTACTTAAATTGACACCATTTCATCGTTTAAGAAATGTTAAACACAAAATATTATTTTTAAAAATAAAATTTAACAATTAAAACTGATTAAAAATCACAACTTAAATAATTCGATCCTGCATAAAGTATCTTTTACATCTATAGGATGTCTAATCGTGATTTACTAATTTAATTCTATAAACTAATGTAAAAAATAGTAAATTGCGGTGGGACACTTTGTATATATATCTGTGGGTCCATGTTACTGGTTAATCTCTTAATATGAAAAATATATTAGGCAGTAAAGTAAAGAACTTGGTTAAAAAAGATAAAAATTAAAGATGAAGTAAAATAAAAAACTAAAATGATAATTTTAGTATACAGTGTACCATTAATGTCATAATGTATTATTTAAGACTTCAATTAATCAATTACACATATAATACGCATATCAATAAAAATAAGATATATATATAAACCTTTTAAATGTTTAAGTATCCTAATGAAATTTCGTAGAAAAAAACTTATATTAATTATATAAAACAAACAGGAAATAATAAAAAAATATGTAATAGTAATGTTGCCGCCTGGGCTGTTCTAAAAAATCCAAAATAAAAATGGGGAATAGAACTCTGCCGTACGGCTTAAAATAGGGGCAACTAATATTCAACAAAAAAAGTTTCTAACCAATTTAAAATTGCTAAAAGAAAAATATTTTTTGTCAACACAAAATAATCTTGTTCAGTTTAATAAATGCAACTAAATAGTCAAATACGAAGAACCGAATCTTTTATTACTGAATTAAATAATCAAATAAATATAACCATCCATTTTACTTACATTCAGTTCTGCATTTTGCTTGAATCATTTGAATAAAATGAACTACAATTTATTAAAGTGATATGCTACCTGCAGTTGTATTGTAAATATGTTCTAACCAATGAAAAAACAGAATACTAAAACTATATGAATTTACAATAATAATATGAACAATGCATTTTAAAACGAAACTTGAACAAAGTTTTTACTGATTCATTCAAAATAACAAAAATCAACTTAACTTTGCAAGCGGGCTTTTATATTAGTAAATCGGCCTGTAACAACAACGTGGTTTGCCACTTGCATAACGACTAGCTAGAGTAGCAAGGGTCGCCACCACCTAGGCGAGGTGTCATACCTATCAGATATGATTACCGGACCATAGGTGGAATTTAATTTTAAGTGAATTAAAAGTATAATCTAAGTTAATATGTCGTTATATGTATAAATTACTATAATGCCTCGTGGTTTATAGAACACAATTATGACAATCAAAGTTGTATGTGGTTGATATGTAAAACATACCGTAGCCCGTGTCTAGATTAAGGAATAGGAATGAAATACACGCGAGTAATTAAGTTACTCGCGCAATAAAATAAATATTACAGTTGAAATTAATAAGGAAATTTAATTTAATTGTTAAAAAAAGAAAATTAAGTTAAACATGGACAAAAATGCGAATGCATCAAAAACCATGTCTACAAATAAAGGCAATACAAATAAAATAAAATATTTAAACAAA